AAATATTCTTCAAAATATAGACCTCATGTCTGGCAACTACATTTGGGCTAAGCCCCGAATGTTTATGATGTCTGGCTCCGCCCCTGGTGTTTCGTTGCAAAAGCGAAAATTTGCTTTGTTTGGCCTTCCAAAAGAGGAAACGACTAGAAATCAGTGGTTAAGTTATATTTACAACACTGTTCCGGAACAGTTCAACCCAAATATTCAGATGTGTGCAGCGCATTTTATGGAGGACAAGGACTGTTTCCTGGGAGAGTAGCCTACAGTGCTATACACAACATACAACTGATGTCTGTTTCTATAAAGTGGGGCATCCCCACTGGATGCAACAAATGCCTCGTTTATAATGGGTTTTACTGGTTTTGTCTCGTCGCGCCGGGACACGGCATCACAATATGGTATGGTGCGTAAAATTTCTGTCACACACTTGAGGTATTCGGCCAATCACAACGCACTGGATAGCTGGCCAATCAGAGCACACCTCGCTTTTCAGACCGATGAGCTTTGTAAAAATCAATGTGTTTCAGAAAGGCGGGGCATAGAGGAGAAACAATAATGTACATTGTGGAAAATAATGTGTTTTTTTAACCTTAAACTGCATAAACACATTGCATTACACCAAATACACCAAATAATGTTCTTTTTAGCAACGTCATATGACCCCTTTAAGACATTTCAACTCCAAAATCCTGCTTCTGGCTAAAATACGAGTCCTCTATCTATAATACTGCGTTCTCCAGTGAATATATTGTCTCGTCTGAATCAGGAGAGAAATTTGCATAGATCAAGCACCGTTTACAAGCCAAAACGGTTCCAAACAAATATTTTGGTGTGAGAGGACAACAGGGGATGGGCTTTTTCACTGGAGGAAGCGTCATCATGGATTAAGGACTCATATTTTAGCCTAACACAATGGTTTGAAGTAAAATCTTAATAATGGATTTGTTTCTTACAAAAACACACTTCACAAGATGTTAATTGATGGACTGGAGTCGTGTGGATTGTGTTTTAATCATAGACTGTATAAAAACATGGACGTAGTGTCCGTGATGTCACCCGTAGGTTTCTGAAGAGCATTCTATGGGATTGACTCTTTTGGAGCCAGCCTCTAGTGGCCAGTTGATGAATTGCAGTTGAAGTCACTTCCGTGTTTGTTTCAAGAGAGAGACCGGAAGGTTGCCGCTTGGTTTTTATCAGCTGGTTTGACTCTCATTCTGATGGCACCCATTCACTGCAGAGGATCCATTGTTAATTTTTTTTTTTTTTTGCTAAATTTCTCTAAATCTGTTTTCACGAAGAAACTATTTGATCTACATCTTGAATGGCCTGAGGGTGAGAACATTTTCAGCAATATTTTGGGCAAATTTTTGTTTCAAATTAGGCTCTACATATGTATCAGTTACCTCAGAAAATAATTTTTGTGGTAATCAGTGTAGTTATACAAACATGGCTATTTAAATGAGTGACTTTAATCTTATATGTATCCATAGATGCTGATAAACTCTTAGAGCATGATCTGGGTGCTCTGAACATGGCTGCATACAACAGAAGAATGGAGAGGGCCAACCTACTGAGGAGCCAGGGTCCTTGCTGCAAGGCACTGTGTGCTCGCAGAGACATTGCCATACGTAGACAGCTCCTGAAAAATGACAAGGTGCTCTTATGGTCTTTAATCACAGGCACTTATTTTGTATAACCTGGGCTTTCCGAAACAGTATTAATTGAGCTCTATTCTGGAACGTGTTAACCCTAACTTTTAGTGTAAATTTAATGTGATGAAACTACACCACAAATTATACCATATATATATATATATATATATATATGCATCGTAGTTAAAAAGTTTGTGGTTGGTAAGATTTAAAATAAATCTTTTATGCTCACTAGGGCTGCAATTATTTACTCAAATACAGTAAAACAGTAATATTGTGAAATATTACAATTTAAAATAAATTGAAATAGTTTAAATTTAAACTGTAAAATCTAATTTATTCCTGTGATGCAAAGCTGAATTTTCAGCATCGTTACTCCAGTCTTCAGTGTCACATGATCCTTCAGAAATCATTCTAATATGCCGATTTGCTGCTCAAGAAACATTTCTTCTTATCATCAATGCTGAAACCAGTTGTGCTGCTTCATATAATTGTGTAAATTGTAAATTCAACTCATTAGGCTTTTTTTTTTTTTTTTTTTGATGAATAGAAAGTTCAAAAGAACTGCATTTATTTAAAATAGATTTTTTTGTTAAAGTCTTTACTATTACTTTTGGTCAGTTTAGTGCGGGGGTATTCAACAGGCGACCCGCTGGCCATATCCGGCCCGTCTGCATTAATTTTGTGGCCCGCGTCATGCTGAAGATTAATGTATTTTTTATTACAATTTGCGCTCAAAATATTAGGCAGTTTGATTTTTTTAATTAAATATATACAATCGCAGAAGTAAAAGCTCCTCGATCTCTGCAAGCACTGTAACTAACGTGCAATTAAAAAGTGACACGCGGCACGCCCCAAACAACTTCAAAAGAGAAGCGTTACGACCTTACGTAAAAGTCCAACAAAAGAGAACATTTAATAACATGATTTTACTCCACAACATAAGTCGAGTGTTTGAAATAACTTCTGTGATCTGATGTGCAGTTTTTGTCACAGAATGAGGCAAATAATATATTCTATATGGTAATAAAGGCTATGTCAATTAGCATTGGATTATAAGTATACTTTATTATTACGAAAATACCAAAGATGGCTTGAAGAACACAGCTAAAACCATATATTGTTGCGTCTTATGTTTACTGTCGTATATTGTTGGATATTTAAATAAATAGCCAGATCGCAAACAGATTCTATCACCCACACAATCTTGTTCGTAAATGATAATGATTCAACTATATGTCTATTAAAGCTTTAATCACACGGTGACATTCAAATCTGCGTTTGCGCTGCCGCTGACCAGAGAGAGCATTTATATGAAACATCTTTACAAAGTCTTTTGTATCGTCATTTCTGTGTTACAAACATTCAAATAATCACAGAAGTACTGGAATAAAAATTTATAGTTCAGATATAAACACTGCTGTCTACAGAAGTGATCAAAATAGAACAAGTCACCTTTTTGAAAGTGACAATGCTTCAAATAAAGATTGTATCAATTACAACGTAATGCCAGCAGATGGAGACAAGTGACTTAAAATTAGATTTGTTAAAAAAATGTTGATTCATTCAGGAATGAAACAAGTGAAGTCTTTATGAGCAAGTCATGAAGTTATGAGCTATAAATCATTTGTTTAACTTTTTTTTATCAGTTTGTTGAATATTGTATTCTATAAATAGACTGCTGCAATTTTTACTAGAAACTCTAGTAAATTACATGTTATTTTGTTTAGCTGTCTGTTTTTTTTTTTCAGAATCATGGTGGGAAAATAGTGATATCTATTTTAAAAAAATAAAATATTGATACAATATAGTTAATATAAATATGAAAAATAATACTTCTTTCTAAAGAATTGTGAACTATATTTGCGCAAGAATGTTTTTAGTTTTAGCATTTTGAGTTTGTTCAATACTCGGTTTGAGTATGTCCATTTTTTACATTAATATAGCAAAACAAACTTTTAATCCAATTTTTTGTTCCAGATTTTTACTCTTTAAAAAAAAAAAAATATATATATATATATATATATGAGCCTGTTCTAGTACACCCCCAAAACAAAATCAAGACTTTGTAAAAGAGCATAATAGGACCCCTTTAAAAAAACATCCTGGCTCTTCCAAGCTTTATAATGGGAGTGGATGGTAGCCCAAAAAATGGCACCCATCCATTATAAAAGAAGTCCACACGACTCCGCGGGGTTAATAAAGGCCTTCTGAAGCGACGCAATGCATTTGTGTAAGAAAAATATCCATATTTACAACTTTATAAACCTTAATCTCTAGCTGCCGCTAACTGTCGTACACACGTTCATGAGAGAGTGGCATCCAGCGGATGACGAAGGACGTAGGCAAACGCGGTGACGAATGTGGAAGCGCAGAGGAGAGAGCGAAACAAAACACCGGTCACGAATTGGTAGTACAAAACGAGGATTTGTAAAGAAAAATGTCAGAGGATTTCGATATAAGCCAAGAGGACACTGGTTTTACTTTGCTGTAAACAAAACATGTTTCTCGCAAGACTAGCATATTCTCACCGGAGCTTATGCTATGCCTACGTCCTACGTCATCTGCCATCCGCTGGATGCCACTCTCTAGTGAACGTGCGTACAACATAATTTAATATAACTCCGATTGTGTTCATCTGAAAGAAGAATGTCATCTACACCTAGGATGGCTTGAGGGTGAGTAAATCATGGGGTAATTTTCATTTTTGGGTGAACTATCCCTTCAAGTATTGATTTCTTAAAAACTTGTAACCCGAAGGTTGCGGGTTCGAGTCTCTGTATTGGCAGGGATTGTAGGTGGAAGGAGTGAATGTACAGCACCCTTTTCCACCTTCAATACCACGACTGAGGTGCCCTTGAGCAAGGCACTAAACCCCCGACTGCTCCCTGGCCGCCGCAGCAAAAATGACAACCCACTGCTCCGGGTGTGTGTTCACGGGGTGTGTGTGTATGTATGTGTTCATTACTCTCTGCTGTGTGTGTGCACTTGGATGGGTTAAATGCAGAGCACAAATTCCGAGTATGGGACACTACAATTGCCACACTTCACTTTCACTTTCATCTAAGTATTTTTTTTCGTACTCCTTTGGTTTAAATTAGCTTAGGTGTACATGATCCAGTATTTGGTTTAATGCTTCTGTATTCCTCCTCATGTAGGGCACAACCAAGCAGATCTACACCAGCGCTCCAGTGGTGGACAATGAACTTGTGCAACTGAGTTTACGTCTCTTTAAAAAGAAAATGGCTTCCAGCCTGTCCAGTGGACAGGAAAAGACTGATTCAGCCTCTGCAGCCCAACAGCTCAGCACACCAGCAGAACTGTGCGTCTCCTGATTGTGCTCAGTGAGTACAGTCTGAAAGTACTGATCTCAGATCACGGTCATCTCGATTATTTTCACACACTGAAACTGTTTAAGTCAGTGCGGATGGAGGATTGCTGCCCTAAACCTCAGAAGAACCATAGAGACTGGACATACTAGCCTGTGGAGATGCTGTCTAAGATTTCACAACCCTTGAACTTTGAATCAGAAGTGTGATAACTATGTACTGCATAAGAACTTTGTCATTTAAATTTGTTTTAGAGAAGATTTTTGCAACGTTGCTGAATGTTTGTGGGATATACAATGGGTACTGAAGATGTATATTAAAATGACTGTATTATGTGCATCTAACTTCTGTTCCCCTTGTTTTTCAGTTTTAAAACATTTGTGATCAGTCTCGGCACTCTTGTTCTCAGTGATTCCTTGTTTTATTAAAATATGATTCAAGAAGAAAAGGTGGTTTTGTGTATCAACCTTGTTGCTCTAAAGTGGTATCTGTATTATAAAACTATAAAAAAAATTATTAGACACAGGATATTGTTTTATTATGTCACTACTATGTATAAATAAGACATTTCTTAAAAAAATCTATTTTAGGTTTCATTAGTAGTAAATATGCAAATGGTTTTATCAAAATATTGGTTCTATTTAAAATAGTTGCTGCATGAGATATTCAAATTTAGAAAGGGCATAATTTTCAAGATTTGTGTATAATGGTTTCATTGTCTTCCGCATTGGAGTCCTCCACTATCCCATCATGCTGTTCGTGACGGATGACGTGTCTGAGGAATCGGATGCTGCTACGCAGGCAGCAGCTTCGCTAGCGCTAGTGCTTGGATATCACCAATGTCTGAATTCTGACACGCATATCTACATTTCACGCATGTAAATATATCTACCGAATCCTTAACTAGTCGGTCGAGGCAAAATGGCCGTGTTCCACCGTGTCCGTGTTGTATTTGTGTTGATTTTTCTGTGCGGGTCGTTGCGGGAAGCGTTGAGTTTCTATCTTCCTGGTTTGGCCCCTGTTAGCTTCTGTGAGAAAGAAGAGAGCGAAAAAAACAGCGACGTACCAGACTGCAAGGTAAATATTCATATTAATACGCGTAATAAGTGATTTTCATTCAAATGTATAAGATGTGCCGTGTTTCTCTGCAGTGAGGTCTCTATGCTGCGTGATGCTAGCTCGAAATGCTATTGCTGGGTGTCAGTTGTGGAAACGCTGTTGCCTTGATAAAGATAACAGCTAGACATGCTAATTTCGTCTCTTTCAAAAACTTTGTAGTGCCATAAAGCTGACTTTCGTAGTCGACTGGTCTGTGAACCTGCAAGTGAAGAGATTCGATCAATTCCCATGTGTCTCAAACTGAACTTTGACTGTAAAGAGAGAGTTCCCTTAAAAATGAAAATACTGTATTCGTTACTTAATTTTACCAAGATAAAGCAGCGTGAGCGCACAACAATTAGTATTTATAAGTACCTTCACATGTTTATGAAGAAATGTGGTTCACGAATGAATTGGATAAATCCCATTGACTAGTTATAAATTCTGTCATGACGTCATTTTCTTTATAATATTTTTGAATTGTGTAATGTAATCATGTGTTTTTCTAATATGATCTGTGTGTCTCTATACATGAGGGAATAGCAGGTTGTTGGTGACACATGCACACATGTAAACTGGTTCAACAGGTGTGATGCGTTTCCTCTATTTCCATATCCTCATGTGGGGGTGGGTCATAATACTCCGTTAACAAGTGAAGATAAAGATGTGTTCTGTAAAGATGCCCTCACATGAGTAATTGCATGTCAGAAAAGTTTATATGGAAGTAAATAATATAAACTTGAGTGACACTTTAAAAAAAAAAAAAAAAGAAGGAAGGAATTACTGTGGACATTTCAAAATTGCCATAACCTTTGATGCTACTCTTTTTGACAGTCAACCATTGAGCTGTTTGTGAACAGGCTGGATTCTGTGGAGTCTGTTTTGCCCTATGAATACACAGCGTGAGTATGAATTATCCTGTATGTTATAGTATTTATTAGTTATAGCTTTTAGTTTTAGTAATTTTGTTATGCCTTTGTCATTTTTATTAGTTTCTTAAAAAGATTTCTATTTGGCTTTATTTTTATTGCTGTTTTAGTAATTTTAGTACTTCGATTAAACTTATTTTGGTTACACTTTATTTTAAGGTGTCCTTGTTACACGTTACATGTACTTACTATTAGAATAACAATTAATTATGCATAATTACATGCAAGTAACCCTAAGCCAAACCCAAATCCTAACCATATAGTAAGTACATGTAGTTAATTAATATTACTCAGTACTTATATGTATAATTACACAGTAACAAGGGCACCTTAAAATAAAGTGTAACCCTTATTTTATTTCATTTATTACCCAAATCAATGTTCCTTTCTTTTTCTTTTTTTTTAAATTTTGAGCTTTTCTAGTATAAATATGTAATTAATTTTGTTTCAGCGTCATTTCAATTAGAAAAAAAACAAACTTTTAGGCCTAATTGTTTTAGTTATAGATATATAGATTTTAGATATCAACACTGTAATGGATAACACTGAAGAAATTGCATTTTTAACATGGTTTGCTCAAGATTTGCTATGCTTTTTGTATGGTTAACCTGTTAGTACTCACAGGTTTTGCTTTAGTAACTCTTTGAGGGAAAAACTGAAGAGAATGAAATGTAGCGCAAGGTTACTATAGTTTTGAATTTTTAAATTAGTTTTATTTTAATATCGTTTTCAAATTTGCTATAAAATTCAGTTGAGTTTTTATTAGTTTAATTCATATTTTTGTTAGTTTTAGTTTAGTTTTTATTTTGTGAACGCATTTTTATTTAGTTTTTATATGGTTTAATTTCAGTTTTAATTAAAGTTTAGCACTTCCAGAGCGCAGGCCAAAGAAAGACTTAGGCATAATTTAACCTTTAGTGAGGCAAATATATAGCGACACAAAATTAACGCATGCTGAGATTGCTTAGATAGTATAAGTATACAAATATACGCCAAAGAAAGCAGGCAAGCCTTTTTTTTTTTTACTAAATTAATCTACACAAGTCGCGCTTAATGTCATATCCAATGATGTGTGTTGAGATATTTAGTATGAAAATAAATGTAGCCTGATTTGCATAGGCGGAGGGTGAACCAACTCCAGGGTAAGGCTAAAAGCAGCCAAATGTATTAAACATCATAAACCCGTCTTTTTAAGCAAGAACCAGACATGGGTGTTATGTAGGCTAAAAAAATGTTTAATGGGACTAAATTTGTATTTAACGAGATTAAATACAATTTATAATTTAATAAAAACGTTAGAAATTGATAATTATATAACGTTTCCTTTCCACGGTTATTCAAACAGCGAATAAATTATATATAGAAAGTGACATTATCACTAACATTGAGTTTAAGCAATCTCAAAAAAACAAAACTATCGTTATAATCACTGAAGCTGTATACACTATGAAATGAATCTCTTACTTACATTGTACGTCCATCTGCGCTTTGTTGTTTATGATGAGAATTCGCAAGAGCCCGGAATTCAGTCAGCGAACGCGCGCGCACTCAACAAAACTGATCTGTTTAAACGATGACTCATCTGGATGCTTCTGATTGGCCATTGCATTCCTAAACTCATGGTTCAAATGCGCAACACTGTAAAAACGCCTAAAATGAAATCCGGTGCAACATGAGCAGATCTTAGTTTAATGCCGCAATCGACACTGTCTATTCATGTTCACTTTGTTAGCAACAGACGTAATAGATTTAATTTATTTGTGCAGGGGCATTTTTGTCCAATTTAGTGCCATTTTTGCCCCAAGTCCCCGTGGCCACACGCTCCGCCTATGCTGATTTGGTTATATGTCTTTTCTTATTTAACCATAAACATGATATTGTAACTGTGGTGTCTTGCTCACTTTTCCATGAACAGCCATGCATCATTCAAAACTAGGACTAATGAAATTCAATAATAACGGCAATCGCATTTAACAGTAAAGGCTTATATTTGAATGTTCTTTTCATTTATGAAGAATTATAAGCGTGTGTATGATGCACATTTGTTCAAAAGCCTGACAGAGTGATCACAAGATCAAGATGCTAGGCAAAAGTTTTGTGTTGTTTTCAGAAAGGATGCACGTTCATCTTTTTTTTCTGTTAATTATCATGTTGTGCTGCATGTCTGTTTTTCTTCAAAGCACCAACTAAGAAGAATGCCTAATGTTGGTTTGATTGCTTGTGTTACATGATAAAATAAATAATCTTGCTTACCTGATGTAATAGATTTAATGCGAGTGCGGTTCGGGTCGCGACTCGCGGTCTTTGTCAAACGGTTCTGGTCTGGTACAGAATTAAATTAGTGCTGCTGTCAGATAATGGGTCGGGTGTTCTGTTAAGTACTGCTGGTGCACGTTTACCAAACAGGACCCGTGCAGGCTTTAAACTGCTTTGCGTCTCTCCGTCAGATAACCCCATGTGCGTGATGCGACATTACAGGCTATTTCCCTAAACCTCCACACAGCTCGTATATTTTTCCGCCAAGGGGTGAGAACGTAATGATTACGAAAACGATTATTTATTTTTGATAAATATTTTATTTCAGTTAGTTTTTCAATAACTGTTTTTAGTTTAGTTTTAGTTTTTCAATTATTTTGACGTTTTTATTTTATTTCAGTTTACAAAATTGTTTTTTCTTCAATCGTTTTAGTCTTAGTTTACGAAAATAACCTTGATGTAGCGAGGGTGTCGCCGATACACTAGAGCAGTGTTTCTCAACCCTGGTCCTGAGCGCCCCCCCAACACTGCACATTTTGTATGTCTCCCTTATCTGACACCCATTTCAGGTCCTGGAGTTTCTTTTAATGAGCTAATGAGTTGAATTAGGTGTGTTTGATTAGGGAGACACACAAAATGTGCAGTACTGGGGGGCGCCCAGGACCAGGGTTGAGAAACACTGCACTAGAGAGACGGTGGAGAGGAAGGGGAGGAAAGTTTGAATGTAGAGACTTAGGAGGAGGAGGGAGTGCCGTTATGTTAACACAGAGGCCTTTCAGTCACACCACCCGCTGTATGATCGAATGGAGGCA